GGTGTACCTCTCTATGGTATGTGGCACGGTTATTGGGGATGGGTGTACCTCTCTATGGTATATGGCGCGGTTATCGGGGGATGTCTGGTGTACCTCTCTATGGTATATCGGGGGATGTCTGGTGTACCTCTCTATGGTATGTGGCACGGTTATTGGGGATGGGTGTACCTCTCTATGGTATATGGCGCGGTTATCGGGGGATGTCTGGTGTACCTCTCTATGGTATATCGGGGGATGTCTGGTGTACCTCTCTATGGTATATGGCACGGTTATTGGGGATGGGTGTACCTCTCTATGGTATGAGGCACGGTTATTGGGGATGGGTGTACCTCTCTATGGTATATGGCGCAGTTATCTCGGGATGTCTTGTACCTTGTTTGCTGTGAGTTGGGAGGAGAAGTTCATGTTTACTACAACATCCCGCTCGGCCTCGTGTTTGGAGTGTCAGCTCTGCGTGTGTACAGTGACAACAGAGGGGACTTGTGGCGCGGCCAGCCGGTCGGGCCCGGTTCCTGGTGTCCGGAGTCACTTCATAAAGTACATATAATATAAAGCTAAACACCAAAACTGAATATACAGGTGAAACTCGAATAATTAGAATATGGTGCAAAGTTCATTTATTTCACTAATGCAACTTATGCGGTGAAACTAATATATGAGAGAGACTCATTACATGCAAAGCAAGATAGTTCAAGCCGTGATGTGTCATCATTGTGATGATTATGGCGCACAGCTCATGAAAACCCCAAATCCACAACCTCAAAAAAGTAGATTACATGCAATCAATAAAACACGGATTGTACATAGAACAATATCGGACCTCTGAGAAGTACCAGCATGCGTATGTACTCAGTACTTGGTTTGGGCCCCTTTTGCAGCACTTACTGCCATTACTTTTGCACGATATTCTAATTATTCGAGTTACATAGTATTTGACCTGTAAGTGTGTGTGTGTGTATATGTCTCACACATTCCTCTATCAAAAAGTTTAATCCTTTTTTTTTAATCCCCCGAGCCCATCTGGGAAGATATTCACCCCAACCCTCTATTATCTATATAATAATGTAGGGGTGACATAACCTGATTGTAGAGGGGGGGGAGGGGGGGCTGTAGAAGTAGTGCCTTGCTCCTGTTCAGGGCCATTACAGTGACCAGTGTCAGTACATGGAACGAGTACATTGCAGGTGTAAATGTTTTCTGGGGGGGAGAGGCGGCGGCTTGGGGGGGAGACTTAGTTGTATTATGAGGCGCAGAGTTCCACTCTTCATGACCCTCTCTGTCCATCATTTGATATCGGCTCCGTCGCGCCTCGCTGATGATAAATTACAGAGTAAGGAGCGTCTTGTCTCTTCTAACAATGTGCGGATTCTTCTTCTTCCTGCTGCACCAATCATGTGAGCCCGCTGCGCTGCATCATATATTCTGGAAGCTCGGCACCGGGTCTGTGACTGTGCACGGGGTCGGACCAGCCAAGGATTTAACTGACCCAAAGTGATCAGTGGGAGGAGGACTGTAGCCCCATCATAGGTGGTCAGCGGGAGGGGGACTGTAGCCCCATCATTGGTGGTCAGCGGGAGGGGGACTGTAGCCCCATCATTGGTGGTCAGCGGGAGGGGGACTGTAGCCCCATCATTGGTGGTCAGCGGGAGGGGGACTGTAGCCCCATCATTGGTGGTCAGCGGGAGGGGGACTGTAGCCCCATCATTGGTGGTCAGCGGGAGGGGGACTGTAGCCCCATCATTGGTGGTCAGCGGGAGGGGGACTGTAGCCCCATCATTGGTGGTCAGCGGGAGGGGGACTGTAGCCCCATCATTGGTGGTCAGCGGGAGGGGGACTGTAGCCCCATCATTGGTGGTCAGCGGGAGGGGGACTGTAGCCCCATCAT